ACCAATCATTAGAAACCAAAATATTCGGAACCTGCCAAAAATCATTGAGACCGCATGAAACCGTATTCGAAACCTTATGTTTAAATATGTTTAAGACGTCACAGTAAAGGTATCTTCGGAAACTTACGCCCAAGCCGCTACCAGAAACCAAAAAAAACTCAAACCTAGAAGCCCCAAATCCCGAATAAATATGAATAAATTATATTAGTGTTTCGGATGCTGATCCCAAAGACTTTAATTGGTGAAGGTTGGTTTCTGAATCTGACCACGTCAGATTCTGAATCCGAAGTCTTTTCAGTTTTTGATAGTTCTTGGCTCCGACCAGATTCCTCACTTTCTTGAGGGTTGCCCTCTCATAAGTCGCCACCCGTGGACCTTGCTTATGGTAACTTATTCGCGTCGCTGGGGTGCTGTCAGCTCACTTGCCCACTTAGAGGAGTGATTACTGATAGCTAGTAATCCGCATGATACGGTGCTGTTCACAAGAAGAACCTGAAATATCCTGAAATCTCATGAAGTCCTCCTTCCCAATGTTATGTGGAGGCAATGAGGCCAAAAATTCATACAAATTCCAACAAGAACGCGATGGTCCCTAGCCTAGAAGACACGACTGAAAGCGGGTCTACCAACCTACTGCGTACTGCCGTCAAAATGGAAGAGTCCAACCATGTTGATGTTAGATGTAGATGTACTGCAGAGAGTAATATCAATGGATTGGTTTAAGGGAAAATTTACAGGAAACCATAGATTTTCCCATTAAATATGGGGCTTTCCTGTAAATTGTCCCTTAAACCAATCCATTGATAATATCAATCTTTGGCCCGACGTTGTCACCGGTCACATCTGCCAGGGGGCCCCATTCAACCGAACTTGGATCTCGTCGGCTTTCTGATTCAGGTGCCTGGCTGATATGAGGACTTCAACAAAGTGTAGGGATTTAATGGGGATTAAATATATATATATATATTAATATATATATATATATTAATATATATATATATATATATATACCTGAGAAGGGGGGGACGAAAGCCAGCCCCCAAAGCAATGCTCATGGTTTTTTTTGTCTCTGCGCTGAAGTATCTCGAAGTAAAGGCGGTTGCTAGTTGTTAGCATTCCACGATACTTTCGTCCAGATCAGCTCCAGCTCGGCCGTTTTAGGCCAAATCCTGGCCAGGAGCCTTTTGGAGCCAGATCCAGAGCAGAAACCTGTTGGAAGCAATTTTCTGCCATTTGGCGGCCATTCGGCCGGCTATTGCATTTCGCTTTTGGGAAGAATGGGAAACGGCTACATATACAATTTTAGAACGAACAGCAAGCAAACAGAAGCTATGACCCAGCATTGTGAAGCTAAAAACACATAGACCCTTTTACACACAGACCCTTGCAGACTACACACAAACGCTTTTACACACAGACACTTTTTTACTTCGACACACAGATGCTTTTACACACAGACCCCTTTACAATAGCTTTACACAGAAACACGTTGACACAGAGACGCTTTTACAGACAAACAGCTTCACACAGACACACAAACGCTTTCACACACAGACCCGTGTACGCAGGGACAGCTTTACACACAGACGCTTTTACACATAGACCCTTTGACACACAGACCCTTGCACACACAGACGCCGTGAGACATAGACGCTTTTTTCGCACAGACACTTTTTGACACATAAACATCTTGACACAGAAATGCTTTTACACAGAGACCTTTTTACACACAGACACTTTTACACAGAAACCTTTTTACACACCGACCCTTTTACGCATACACAAAATGTTGCACACAGACCCTTTTACACACAGGCGCTTTTACACACAAACACTTTTACACACATACGCTTTTACACACAAAGGCTTTTACATACAGACCTTTTTACACACAAACATCCTTACACCGAAAGGCTTTTACACAGAGTCGTAGTAGCACACAGACTGTTGGACACACAAACATCTTGACACAGAAATGCTTTTACACGCAGACCTTTTTACACACAGACACTTTTAAACACGAACCTTTTTACACACCGACCCTTTTACGCATACACAGAATGTTGCAAACAGACCCTTTTACACACAGACGCTTTTACACACAAACACTTTTACATACATACGCTTTGACACACAGAGGCTTTTACACACAGAAGCTTTTACACAGAGACCCTTTTACACACAGAAGCTTGTACACACAGACCCTTGTACACACAGATATATCTACAGAGAAACGCTTTTACACAGAGACGCTTTTACATAGAAACATCTTCACACAGAGACGTTGCGGCATGTTTTTTTTAACCTTCATTTGTAAAGCCGAAAAATGGTCAAATAGTTGGTGTTTTCGTGTTTTTTGAACAGTCTCGGAGCAAAAAACTCCGAAAAAAAAAACGTGTTTTCTGACGCCTCGCAAGCCCGGAGCCTTTTGGAGCCAGCTTGTGGGACTTTCGCGGCTTGCGGGCCGGCAACTAAAAGGGCCTTCTGGGATCAAGGGGAAACGGCCATTTTTAGCCAAATCCTGGCCGAAGCCTTTTGGAGCCAGCTTTTAAGACTTTCGCGGCTTGCGGGCCGGCAACGAAAAGTGCCTTCTGGGCTCAAGGGGAAACGGCCGTTTTAGGCCAAATCCTGGCCAGGAGCCTTTTGGAGCCAGATCCAGAGCAGAAACCTGTTGGAAGCAATTTTCTGCCATTTGGCGGCCATTCGGCCGGCTATTGCATTTCGCTTTTGGGAAGAACGGGAAACGGCTACATATACAATTTTAGAACGAACAGCAAGCAAACGGAAGCTATGACCCAGCATTGTGAAGCTAAAAACACATAGACCCTTTTACACACAGACCCTTGCAGACTACACACAAACGTTTTTACACACACAAACGCTTTTACACACAGACACTTTTTTACTTCGACACACAGATGCTTTTACACACAGACCCTTTTACAAGAGCTTTACACAGAAACACGTTGACACAGAGACGCTTTTACAGACAAACAGCTTCACACAGACACGCTTGTACACACAGACGCTTTTACACACAGACCCGTGTACGCAGGGACAGCTTTACACACAGACGCTTTTGACACACAAACATCTTGACACAGAAATGCTTTTACACAGAGACCATTTAACACACAGACACGTTTAAACAGAAACCTTTTTACACACCGACCCTTTTACGCATACACAGAATGTTGCACACAGACCCTTTTACACACAGACGCTTTTACACACAAACACTTTTACACACATACGCTTTCACACACAGAGGCTTTTACATACAGACCTTTTTACACACAAACATCCTTACACCGAAAGGCTTTTACACAGAGTCGTAGTAGCACACAGACTGTTGGACACACAAACATCTTGACACAGAAATGCTTTTACACGCAGACCTTTTTACACACAGACACTTTTAAACACGAACCTTTTTACACACCGACCCTTTTACGCATACACAGAATGTTGCAAACAGACCCTTTTACACACAGACGCTTTTACACACAAACACTTTTACATACATACGCTTTGACACACAGAGGCTTTTACACACAGAAGCTTTTACACAGAGACCCTTTTACACACAGAAGCTTGTACACACAGACCCTTGTACACACAGATATATCTACAGAGAAACGCTTTTACACAGAGACGCTTTTACATAGAAACATCTTCACACAGAGACGTTGCGGCATGTTTTTTTTTACCTTCATTTGTAAAGCCGAAAAATGGTCAAATAGTTGGTGTTTTCGTGTTTTTTGAACAGTCTCGGAGCAAAAAACTCCGTTAAAAAAAAAAAAAAAACGTGTTTTTTGACGCCTCGCAAGCCCAAAACCACGGTAGTTGCGGTGTTTTTTTTGCTCCTGGAACCAAAAACCACGGTGTTTACAGTGTTTTATGGCCAGCACCTAGCAAAAACAGTGGTATTTACGCAGTTTTCAGCATGTTGCAAGACGTACTTTTGCCAGGCCAAACGCACAAAAACACCGTAAATTACAGTGTTTCGGCATTTGAAACCCGATGAAAACCGTCAAGAACCACCAACAAGGTAAAGCCGAAAAATGGTCAAATAGGTGGTGTTTTCGTGTTTTTTGAACATTCTCGGAGCAAAAAACTCCGTAAAAACCGTGTTTTTTTGACGCCTCGCAAGCCCAAAACCACGGTATTTGCGGTGTTTTTTGCTCCTGGAACCAAAAACCACGGTATTTACAGTGTTTTATGGCCAGAACCTAGCAAAAACAGTGGTATTTACGCAGTTTTCAGCATGTTGCAAGACGTACTTTTGCCAGGCCAAACGCACAAAAACACCGTAAATTACAGTGTTTTGGCGTTTGAAACCCGATGAAAACCGTCGAAAACCACCAACAAGTGTCCAAAATGGAGCATCTCGTTCGGGCCCAAAAAACCAGGCAAACGGCAGGTCGGTTTTTGAGCTCTCCCCCCCCAGGCTCCGGCCTCACCTTTCAAAAACGGACCGATTTCGGGCCTCCCCCTCCCCCACACCCCCTAGATTAGCTTCGCTTCGCTTCGCTTATACCTATACTCAAGCCCAGGCCTTCGGCTGGCTTTCGTGATATAGAGATAGGTATTTGATGGGATTCAATAGGGATTTAATGACACTTCTATGGGATTTCATGGGATATACCCAGTCAACCAGTCCAGACACGTTGCCATGGGTCCCATGGCCAAACTGAGTTCCACGGTCCAAATCATGGGGCCCATAGAAATAGATGGTTTACCTGGTTTACCTTTTAAAAAAAAATGTGATTTGATACTAATATGGATGATTAATTGGGGACAAAAAGGTGATCAGTATTTGTTGATTATCCCCAATTTAATAGCCCGTTCTTATCACCATTTTGCCTGTACTAATATGGCGATGAATCTTCGCAAATATCCCATGTTCAGATACACAGAAATTTCGTATCGTGGTCATATGCCATCATATCTCCGTTGCCACGATTTTAACGGTTACAACTTCTTCCTGCTTGCCGGTTTCAACCGAAGCACCTCTCGGCTCATGACGAGCCGATACCATTTCCACGAAACCAAGAGACTAGGTCAAACCTTGTAAAAACCACCAACCAGGTTGGTTATTTATATTACTGGTTGGTGGTTTCAACCCCTCTGAAAATATTAGTCAGATTGGATCATCATCCCAGCTATTGGGGAAAATAAAAAATGTTCCAAACCACCAACCAGTTTATATTATATACACATCCTGATATATTCGATGTTTCAAAGCCGCGTCATGCCGCGTCATGCTAAACCCGTCGCGTTGGTTGCGTCGCGCCTGACGCGTTTGACCCACTTGGTGGCCATGCGTTTGTTCTTCTCAACCAGCGTGATGAGACGGCATAAATCCTGTCCTGGATGGGAATCTTGAGCCAAATTTGGAGCAAAAACCCATGGTTTCCTGGAGATGTTCTCTGTTGGTAAACCAATCCACTAAAAAACATGAGCGTATTTCATGGGATCTTGATGGTCTTTTTTCGTCCAAACAACATGGTTTCACAAAAGGAGCAGATGGAAACGCTTTGGAAAAGATGGGAATGTTTACCAGTTTACCAAAGATACGGGAGTACACTGGGATTTTGCCTCTTCTAATCACTGGATTTGCTCAAATCCCCAAAGTTAGTTTAAGTGGATTTGCTCAAATCCCCAAAGTTCAAGGAAAAAAAGAAATACGGGAACCCCTACAATTTGAAACAAAAACCATGGTTTCCTGGATATTTTCCCTCAAACCAATCCATTGAAAACAGAGGAGTATTTGATGGGATTCTGTTGTTTGTCTAATCAAAATGATTGATTTACTCACTTATCAAAAATAAAGATTAAATAAAACATCACTGACAATTTAGCCAGAAAAAGGGAACAAGGTCGGGGGTTTAGCAAGGAAAATCCTTTGATATTGTGGGTTTACCCATTTATGGAACAAAGCCCCAAAGCCATGGGGATATCATGGGTTTACTGGACTATCTCGATGGGATTGTAGCCAACCACCTATCGGACCTATCGTTTCTAGGCTTTGGTCACGGTCGGCAGTCGCCATCAGTTGCTTGGCTTGGGGGAGGGAAACCCACGGTTGCAAATATGTGTTGAGATAGTGCATGGGCCTCCCGAATTTCTCCCGCATTTCTCGAAATATGTGAAACCAACTGGCAAGATCTGGCAGATTTCTGAACCTTCCATTGAAATTCACCAAGGTGGACATGTTTTGCCTGAAATCACCAGCCTCAATTTGTATGCAAAATGTGGGGATGATGAACCATGCCACATCTCCAGTGTTGCTTTTTATGTTTTGTCGCAGTGAAAAATGACACAATTTGGGTACCATGGATAATAGAGATATAGTTGTTTGATATAGTTGATTGATATTAATAATGGAGATATAGTTGTTTGGTACTTTGATATTAACATAAATATAGATAGTCATTTCATGACATGTTTACAATAGCTAATCACATCCTGCAGGTTGATCGTGGCCACAGTGTTTGGATTGGTGGACCGGTAAAATCTCTACAGGAACCCCCCTGCTTTCTGACTAATATTTTGAAAAACAAACTGATGTAATGTGTCCCCCATCATTGAATCATCTATATAATTCTCGAAACACAAATCGGCCTATCTGACCAGTCTGACCCTCACCCTTTTCGCACCTTTTGCAGGCCCTTTCACCTGTGAACATTGGAGACTCCAGACAGGAATTCTGTTCTTCGAGTGCAATGGATGATTCATGGTTAATTCACCCGCCTTTGAAGATTTGCCATTTCAGGATGATTTCCATTTCTAGCCACAATCTTTGGTCCACATCGCGACGTGCGGTCGTTATAATTTATCCAGAGTGGAACATGTGGGAAACACATATCAACGCCCAGCCCTATCTACAGGGTGGTTGAGGGTGAGATGTCCACAACTAATAATTAGATCTAATTAGTGGATTAAGATGCACATGAAACCAGCTACCCTCTGGTAATTTAACATAGCTATTGAAAATACATCATTTATAGTTGATTTGCCTATTCAAAATGGTGGATCTTTCCAGTTCGCTATGTTAGTTCGTTTACCAGAGGGTAAACTCTAACCAAAGCAGCACTGACATGACCCTTAATATAGCCTAGCAGCACCATCAACCCCACTCAGCTGTGCCTTGAATAAGCCGGTGAGAAACTCGATGGGCGTCAACGAGCCACTCCTGATGATTGGGCGTGAGAATGTCGGAGAAATATTGACGCCAAAAACCATTGAAGAGTAAGAATCTACGTACCATGATAAGATCTATGAATCTATGGCCTTTAAAAATGGATTCTACCACTGGAATTTGAGCATTGATAGTAATATCTGCAACTGCAGCATTAGCATTTGGATTACCTATGATGTTTGCTGTTTGAACTCAGATTTCCGAATCCAAGATATCCAAGTGTGTCTTGTACACGAGCACCACAATCCCGGGGTACACCTCAAAGAGTGTAGACTCACAAGGTGCAGAAGATCATTGTCCGCAATCTTCACAAGGTGACCAAGTGGTGCCGTCCCGATATATGTTATATATATATAAGTTGGTGTAGCACCATCTAACATCATTATCTAAGTATAGTATACTATTGTGCTAATCACCGTAAAACCCAACAGTTAACTCACCAGGCCAAGGAACTTGTCAATGTCCATCAACTCAAACCTAGGACAAGGCCGACGAGCAAATGGGGCTTATGGATGGGGGCCGCGTTTACACCTAGAAGCAGGTGCTTTTCAGGGCGAAGCGGCTCAGCCGTCTAAGGAATATGTTGCCAATAGTAGTGATAACATCATATATACTACATGTATATTATATATATATATGTGTGTTTTATATATATATATATATTATGTATTTATGTATATTATATATATATGTGTGTGTGTTATATATTATATATACTGTATATATGTTATATATAACACATATCATCATATATCAGGTTTTCTGAAAATGGACGATCCCCAGTCGTCACCCTAGGTCCTATACTAGTCGTCATCGCGGTTCCTCCATGACTTCGATCAACAAAAGGGATTTTCAATGGGATCTAATATGATTTAGTGGGAATTAATCTGATTTGATGCGATTTAATATGGTTAAATTGGGATATGTGATGGTTACCCTCTGGTAATTGAACAGTTTGCTATGGAAAATGAGCAGTGAACAAATGATTAACCTCTTCAAAATTGTGATTTTCCGAAGTAAACTGTTCAAAGAACAGAGGGTAGGGGGTGTTTTCTTTTGGTGGGATGTGATTTATGAGGATACGTCCAAAAACCATACACAGAAACGTGCAATTCTGAAGCGTCTCATCTGAAACGTGCCCCTCAAAATCTGGCACTGACACTCCCCAACCAACCATTCCCACATCAACCCTCCAAATTATAATATGTTTTTCCAATAGCTCAGCTTCTTAATTCCATCGCAACACCTCCAACTAACAAGATGCTGTTCCCCACTAAAGTCTATGAATTGCTTTACAATGATCACTCCAAAACTTACATATATTCTGGCATGTTCTTACAATTTTATATGACATCTCAGAGGACAGTTCTAAATTCTGACCTGACATCGATTCAGAAACACTTCTGACCTACGGATCATCTACGGATCATCTGCGGATCATCGCCAAGCAGCAGACTTTCGGCTTCCTCGCAGCCGAGGCCCAGAAAGCCCAGCTTTTTGCTCATCGTCGGCGTCCGCAGCACCTTTCGGAACTCCCAGAAGTCCAACTCGCCGTTGTAGTCCGAGTCGTATTCCTCGTTGCGCCGTTACGATGCGTTACGGCCGTTACCGGCATTACGCGTAGCACGAAGGGTGAGGCGCGTAAAAAAGGAAGGTTAGGAAAGCCTGGTGAAGCTCTGTGGGTAATCATCCTGAAAACTTTGAGAACTCACGGGATTCTCCTGGCATGAAAAATTCAGATGAAATCATGAAATCCGGTTCATGTTGGTCAGTGCGTTTCATGGGCAATCCTATACCTGGCTTCTGACCTCACAAACGCGAAGCAGTTGGGATTCGTCTTGGGTGGACCAGTTGGATTTGCTGATGGGATTCGCTGGTCCAGATCGGGTTGATGGGATTCTCCTGGACTGCATGATTTAAAAAAAAACAGATGAATTCTGAAAGGTGTGTATAAGAATACTATACAGATCTATACAGTAACTCAGTACGTTGGATAAAGGTATACAAATTACATTTGAATCGGCAGATGTACAAATGTAACTACGCACTCTTGCAGCATCTCACAATTGATCAATTACCCGTCCTGATAATCCATGTTTGCCTGGTAGGATAACTCCAGACAAAGGTATAGTCCCTTCAGCTAACAGACGAATCAGATTCAACTTCTAAGTCTGGGCCAAATACTGACCATTGCGGATTCTGCAATATTCCATTCGTGGGTACTTAGAAGGCTCAAAAAAACTCGACTCTCACTGAAAATTGTCACAGTTTGACCTACCTTTTCACCCACTTCCAACCGGCAAGTTCCCTTGTATTTCCCCTCGTCACTTAAATTGTATGAGTGGGTTCAATGATCATGAACCCCCAAGATCAGAGCCAAAAAGCTCCCAACAGCCCCAAAACAGTTGGGTCTGTGGATGTTGTTCTTTTTCTTCTTCAGACCAATATATAACACTGCAAACATGGAATGTATATGCATATATATGAATATATAAGATCGTCTCCAATTATAAGATGATCAAACTAGGGGAAAAAAAAAAAAAAAACATGCAGACCTCCCATGCTACAACCAGCCCCCAGTATATCCAACTAACTTGAATCCCATGTCCCACATCTCCTATCCCCATCCACAGCGAGAAACGGTGAATTCTTCCAGCATCGAGGTCATCAGAAGCCTTTCTGTCTTGGCTATGGCTGTGGCCTTCGACTCCTGGCGTTGGGCATACGTGACGCGAGCTGCTGGCTGCCAGATGCTGCCAGATTTTTTTTCGGGTTGGTGGTTTGAAGCCCTCTGAAAAATGATGGAGTTCGTCAAATGGGATTATTGTTCCCAATATGATGGGAAAGTCATAAAAGTCATGTTCCAGTCACCACCAACCAGTTTTTGGAGATGGCAAAATAAACCATCGGCACAACCCCCGTCCTGCGACTCGCCTGAGATGATCGTCATCCTGGGATGACGCTGCGCCGCAAGGGGCCCAGCTGAAAGCTGCCATGTTGTTATCATCCCCAAGTGACTGGTCATGAAATTGGGTATACCCCTAGCCATGGGATGATGTTTACATGATTTTATATTTGTATGTAATGTCAACTCCGGATTTTGCTAAACCATGGTTTATGACAATTAGGGGGTTACTCCTCCAATAGTCACGTCATCTGATACTTTTTTATGGTAGCCTCCCAATGAAACAGCCGTTTTAGGGGTTTATTAATCCAGGCTTGACATTATATATGTTTCTGAAACGACCCCCAGTCATGGTTTGGATCCGTCTGCCACGAAATCTCAAACAAATTCTTTTCTTTTTTTTCGAAAAAAAAGTAGCCATAACACATCGGATATCCACTAGTTTGTTTGACAAATCGACAACATTCGATCCACTCAGATCCTCAATGATGAAGTTTCTTTAGTGTTCCCACTTAGGTAAATGAAATTATACCGTATATATCCCAGTAAAAAAATGAAGTATCCCCAGTTATATTATATTATAAATAATATATATATATACATATGGCTTATACATGGCTTAACCAACTGCACCACTTGGACCTTCGAAGAAAAAAAAAATCCAAGGCCGCCCTGAGTTTCCGCACCGTTCCACCTGGGCTCGGCGAAAGGCTCAACAAAGGCTCTGAGGGGACTTCACAATGACATGGAATCAATTGATGTCCATTGATTTCCCTTAGACATGTATATATATATATATGTAATGATAATGAATAATATGTATATAAATGTAATTTCCCATTAATATATATATACTGTATATATTATATACCCATAATATACATAAATATAGATATATAATTTAATGATAATGATAATGATGTCCTTAGAGCCTTAAGTTGTTAAATAACCAGAGGTTAAGAATTTGATGATAATTTAAGTTGTTAACCTCTGGTTATTGAAGTTACAGTTCGCCATGGAAAGATCCACCATGCTATTAAGAACGGTAAACCATCTATTTCTATGGACCATCTATACCATGGCTATGTAACAAATAACCAGAGGGTACATATAAGATGGCCACAAGGATACCAACTTAGGACTTGTCCAAGTGGATTGTTCTAAAATGACTTAAATATAGATTATATAGGACTTAATAGCCAACTTCATTATGATAACTGGGCCTTGAAATGTGGGCTACATTCCTTGGCCGAAAGCTCCAAGACGGGCAGCCATGATTGCCAGGAGGATATTCAGGACGCCGAAACTGAGGACCAAATTGCTGAGATATGTCACCTTGGGCAGCAATGAGTTGTTGCGGAGAGCTTACCGTTTACCCAGTTGGGGCCTTGTAAGTCGATGAATTTGAGATACCCTGGAAGTAAATTAACATAGACCCTGGTAGAAAACGGGGTTGGAAGATGAGTTTCCTCTAAAAATTCGTGATTTTCAGGGTCTATGTTAATTCACCAGAGGATAAATTATTGTGAATTACTGTCCTTTGGAAAGTGGATACCTTTGCTTTTCTCAAACACAAATTTTGAGCCTTACTGATGGCCAACCTCATGGCCACTCGCCCAAATGCTTGGAGCTACACCCCAAAAACCTAAAGCATCCAAGTATTGCAATTTAGGCACTGGCAAATCGCCGGCCTATTTTGATTTCATATCCTCCATTTATCAATGGCTAAGTGATGGATTGGGCTGCTTTGGAGTCATGACCCCCTGTCATTCCCACTGGTTTGGGACTTTAAAAAGAACTGGCGGTCAACCGAAACCACCAACCCAAAGATCCCAAAGCACCACCCCAAAGAACTACTGGTTTGAATTTACGGCCAAGAAAATCAAACACCGGTCGCTTTACCCAGAATTGTCCTGTCTGCTCGTGCCAATAGCGCCAAGAAACCAATAGTCCCGTGGGTGCCGCATGATACAGCGGTCTCAGGACCGGTTCCGCCACACAGTCCAGCGTCATGATCTTGGGCCGCCGGGGTGTCAAAGTTGGTTTGGATTACCCTCTGGTAAACTAACAGTTCGCTATGGAAGCCATGGCCCATAGAAATAGATGCTTTACCGTTCTTAATAGCATGGTGGATCTTTCTATAGCTATGTAACAAATGACCAGAGGGTAAAACCCATTAGATCCCATTAAAATTCATTAAACCACCATAAATTCCCATAATTTCCCATTGGATCCCATTAAAAATGTTGCTTTAATGATCATTGATCATACAGAATCATGGTGTTTTTGCCACAGGTCCTCGCCTGAAGGACGGTGAACAGGGACCTGCCGAACGGCAGTTTGGCCCCTTAAGGGATTCCGTTCGATGACGTGGCACCGAAATCCCCATCTTTCACCATTGGTTCCCTGGTTACCCTCTGGTAAACATACAAAAAACTATGGAAAATCACCATGTTTCATTTCTATGGCCATTTTCAATAGCAAACTGTTAGTTTACCGGAGGGTACCCATGGCGAATCCTCCGTTCCATGGTGAATTCGCGCCTGGTGGTGGTCCCGCAGTAGAGATCCGCTTCAGGCCACAGCTCTCGAGCGGCCTGAAAAAAAATGGTGGATCCTGAGGGAACTGCCTCGTTCATCCTCGTTCAACATCCAATCATCAGAGGCATGATATCCCAAGAACCGGTCCAAATATATGAGTCAAAATATGTCACACATTTGACACAACTTGCATGGTGAAATCCTCAAGAAATACATAGAAATACCACAGTCTTCATTTGGAGGGGGTCGTAAATGGAATTCTCTGAAAATTGGGTACCCCAACATTGGATGGTTTCCGAGGTTTCCGAGGTTTCCGAGGTTTCCTAAGATGCGACAACCTCCCAAAATTCCCAAATCATCCATGAAGGGGGTAAGCCCCATTTTATGGAAAACCCCACGTTGCCTAGGCTCGACAAGGTGGAAGCGGTGATGTGGAGATGTGGACCATGTTTCTTGTGGATCAAAAAATTGAAGCAACAAAAATTGGAGGAATTCGCCCAAACAAAGAGGAGGTGTCACCAAGAATGGGAAAAATTCACCAGAGAAATTGGAAGATGTCACCAAGAATGGGAGGAATTCACCAAAAAATGGATGAATTCATCAGAATAAGAAGGATCGCACCAAATGATGAGGATGTCATCCGGCACCAAAAAGGGGAGAACCGGTTTTGATTGTCGCAGAAAGGGGTGTTTCGAGCTGGTGCTTTTTGTAGGCCCTCCTTTCCTGGTGTGTCGCGGTTATCAGTTCTGAATGGGAAGTTTCTAATACGTCGGAAGCCAAATGACCATCCTCGGCCATTCCAAAATCCATCACTTCCCGTGGTGGCCTAATTACAATGATTTGTCCCAAAGCAGAGGAAACAGCCGTGTTCTCAGCCCAACGGTCAGTAGAGGGGCCAAGTCGGAGCCCACCAAGGAGGTTAAAGCAATGGCCAACATATAGGCCAAGATCAAGGCCGCCAGAAAGGTCCACAACATGGAGGGCAAACCGTCAATGAACCTGAAAGCCAGTGCCAGATTCGGCAACCAGGAGTTGGAAATGAGTTTAGTTCTAGATGTGCTTAAGATTTTCTGAAACTGTTCTGTAATAGGCTTAAATTAAGCCAAAGTATAATAAGGTATACCCTCGGGTAATTTAACGTAGCTATGGAAGCCATGGCCCAGCTAGTTCGTTGATTTACCTATGAAAAGTGTTGATGTTCAATAGTTTTTTGTATGTTTAACAGAGGCTAATATAATCCTTTGGATAAAATATTGATTATATCCAAGGATCATCATAGATATATCTACACCTATGATATCTAAGCCATAGCCATATCTATGATAGATATCTGGGGCAATTGTTGAGTGGCTATGTTGATCACTGTTCTGTTCGCCAAGTTGACACATGAAACACTCGAAGCTCAGACTTGGCGGCAGTTTCCTGCCTAGTAGCCTGGGTCTTTTCACATTGGCAATGGACAATCACCTCTATAATATAAATGAGTATTAATATATTATATAATAATATGTGTATATATAAAGTACATAATATATATATAATACATATAATACATATATATATATATTGTATTAAATATATACATATAGTGTATTATATTTATATATTGTATTATGTGTATATTAAATTATATATATTGTATTATATATATATACATTGTATTATATATATATATATTTACATTGTATTATATATATTGTATTATATAGGTTGTATTATATATGAATATAGTGTATTATATATATATGTATTGTATCATATATATATTGTATTATTTATATATAGTGTATTATATATATATTGTATTATATATATATATTGTATTTTTTTATACATATTGTATTATATATATATATGGATGAGTATCCCATTAAAATAAAATAGTTCGAGGATTCTCGCATAAAATCATCCAAGTTTGTTGGAAGCATTGCCCATTTGCCAAGAGGCCCTTGGGTGATTCTGAAGAGACCCCTGACCATCTTCTCCCTCCGAATCGCGCGCGCAATGCGTAGGGATCGAAAGACACCTCAGGTGCCAGGTGATGTGGTTCACTTGGTTCACTTGGATCGAAGTTTTTTCAGGCCCAGCAATTGAGCCAGGTCATTACAATAATATATTAGCAACAATAATTAATACTTAATAATGGTAATTACATTAATATTAATTATCATATATTATCATTACTATCTAGTAATAGGAGGGTCATTTTCCCGATGCCAGGGTCATGGTTGGTTTTAGCCTGACTGTTCAGAATCATCCTGGTCAATTCTCCTGGAGCCACTGATATGAGTTGTCATGGTTCAGACATCGATGAAACGAACACAACCTTCGGGGCGAAATGACCACTGTTTCAAAAGATACCTAGTCACCTAGTCAAAATATGAAGGTTATGCAAAGATACCGAAGTTCGGAATATGAGATATGTCCCATCAAAATTGTAACAAATTATAGACATAAAATTGAAGTTATTGCATAAAACATCTTTTTTGAGTAAAACTTAGCCAAATCAACAACCCTACCTATCCCTTGACCAGCCGGCTTTTCCAGCGCTGGGATTGTAATGTCAATATCTCAAATGATTGTCCGATATTACTATCCCATCATCATTGCAATCCCATATTACCACATCATCATAATTATCCCATATATATATACATATACATATGTATATGTATTATAATATATATATACTGTGTATATATCTATATATACATTTGTCATATCACATATGATTATCCAATGTTGTTATTAATATAAGATAGTGTTATTGTGATTGCTACCAATCCGATCCACTATAATTCTTTATATTAGTTATATCGTTGTTAATCAACATAATGTCATAGCTCGGACATGCTCGGACTAACCAACAAAATCTGGGATCATTACTTTTGTTTCTAGGATTAATCCCATTACCCTCTGGTAATTTAACATAGCTATGGAAAATCACCATGTTTAATGGGAAAATCCACTATTAATGGTCATTTTCAATAGCTACGTTAAATTACAAGAGGGTACTATATGTTCCATGTTCTGGGGAAATTGTTACTATATATAATCATATAATCATGATTATTTCAAATACATAATCATTATTAACCCATAACCCTGGATAATATTATGACTAATGATCCCACATATATAGTAATAATATAGCAACAATAACAATATATGATAATAGTATCCATGTTCTGTATAGTGTTATCTATAATGATCCGACATATATATATATAATATTATAATATTCATAGTATCCCACATATAATCATCGCAAGTACTGACTAACTGTATTGTCATAACGATCGTCCTTATAGATTACGACTATCCCATTATAATAATTATTGGTTAACTATTAACTATGGTATGGGTTTCTATAAGTGGTTATTATATGTATAATTATAGTAAATGGTTCATTAAAACCCATTTAACTATAATTATACATTGGTTACATATTGAAAATACCAAATAGTATGGTTATACTGAATAATCATTGCAATGATAGCCATTATTTTTCAGTATGAGTAGTCCATAATTATTGGTTAAATATTGCAGTAACTATGATTATATATTGGTTATATCTATATATATATATATTAACTAATCTATTACCATAACTATCATATGGTTAGATACATAATTAACATATTACTATCAATGATTACCATATCTATGGGTAAAAAAAACTCACTTGTTGTGTTATTATTACCATAGCAACCATCTATGTGTTTATATATTAACAATACCATACTATCCCGTATCTATTGGTTATATATTCACCTCATTTTGTTGTGTTATTCTCAACTATTGGCTATATATTACCAATAAATATATAACAAATGGCTATATAGTGGCTATAATCATACTATTATTGGCTATATATTAAGTTATCAGTATATATATATATATGTGTGTGTGACTATATTTATGACTATATATATATATATACACACTACTATTTTAAATTATTGGCTATATTATTGGTTATATTAAGTATGATTATATATTGCCATAGTATGTGATTCTCCTCATCCCAACCATCCCAAACACGGAAACGAGCAACGCAGAGAGGCGGCCCAGCGCAAGCCGCTGCCGTCCACCTTTGCCAAGCTCACCACCTCGGGATTTTCCCCGGGGAACCGGGAAATGCTGGGTTTTACCCTATCAAAAAGCCTATGGAAACCCTATGGAAATGGAAACCTCTCCGGATTTTTCATGGGAGGTGAGATTTAATGGGATTTAATATGATGTATGTGGAATTGATTGGAATTTAATGGGATATAATGGGACATATGACGGTATACCTATGGTTATTTCACATCTTCCTATGGGATTCTCAAGAAAGAGAATGAATTCTCTGGTGGTGAATAGCATTTAATACTTCTAGAACGTATTTCCTGAAATTCTCACGAGAATTCTCAAGAAAAGCTTGATTTCTTGAATTTAGAGGAACCAACATGGAAGGTATCGCCTTTTTAGTAGAACATTACAATTCGAAAAATGCTGCTTGACTTGTGCTTGGTTTCTACACGTCGATAAGTAACTCAACCAAAATTTTGAAGTCTCTGTATATACATATGTGTAGTACTTGATCTATATATATATTATAGAGAAGATATATATATATAAATTAAGTAGTGTTTAATGAGGGATTCATGATATCTTTATGGAGATTGAACTGAATTTAGTGGGATTGAATACCTCTATGAGGTGGGTCCCCCTTGGCATGATAGCTAAGCTTTTGGGTTATTGTAGATACATCCAACTAACTAGTGGTGGTTAAAAACGAACAAACATAACTGGAGGGGCCCACCTTGTGTGTACACATATATAGAAATACATATCTGGATAAATCAGAATCATATGACAAATCTAGATTATTAACAACTCAATCTACAGTACATATATATATATATATGGGCATATATATATATACACAGACATATGTTTCTTTTATATCGCAAGTCTGGTTCATGCTGCATTTAAGGGAAACCCCTTGTGATTTATATCATAGGATGTCATGGGGCATCATTGCAATATCTTTAGGTTATATCTTACAAGTCTTACGTACGATGCTAAGCACCTCTAAACAATTGCAAAAAAAAAGATGTTGCGGCAATTTTTGGATGCAACATACAAAAGTGACAAAAGTGAGCAAAGCCAAAATATATCCAAGGCCCCACATTCTGCTTGAAAATAGGCATCATTTGGGCCTAACATCTTGACCTGTTTTGGACAAGTTTCTGTGGTGTACAAGAAATATTCCTTGACTTTTTTGGTTGATGAAGAATCAGTTCTTGCCCAAAATCCTGAAAAAAGATAGGCCTTTTTTATGTTACATAATGTGTGTTATATTCAATTATTTACACCCGCTAAATTCAACTATGGAGCGCCAAATTCGCCATACCAAATAAGGCAATCTCTAGACCCCATTGGGTGAACGCTTAAAAAAAAGCTGTAAACCAGCCACTTTGGCGCTACTCAGTCCAGAAGCCAGGTCTGCCACGCTGAAGACCACCAGGCAGTAATCAAAGACATTCCAGGGATCCACAAAATAGTCCTCAGATCGGCCATTGGTACCCATTGATTGGCGTATTCCGAATGTATTCCGAAATTCCTGGGGGATATAGTTTGAAAAGTACAGGGATATATCTACGGAAACAGTCCTCAGGTCGACCAGATCGACCCTCAAAGAGGTACCGATTGATTGGAGGTACCGATTATTACCATATGTCAGGCCGATTTTTCACACTCCCAAAGTATGGCTCCTGGAATCTTGGAATTCCCATCAGGTGCCCAGGAATCATTGGGGCACTGTCCTGAGGTTGGGAGATGTTTGGAAAATACCACGGACGCTCATTTTTGAAACGGAGGGGATCATGGAACAAACAACAAGCGGACTGGGATACACCTGAAAAACGGTGCAGATATTATACAACAACCATACGAAATCAAGGAGATCTCGTGGGAAATCACAAAAATGTGGTAGTTGCTGCCACCATTTCAACTTGTGACATCGAAACTCAGCCAAAAACCATCAAACCAAACTAGTTCGATTTTCAAGGTTATCAGCGTTCCCAATTCCCAACATGTGGTTTCATGAACATCTACGAGTATGTGATTGCTGTTACTTGCTTCCAATCACCATTTAGATTTGTCCAAATGTAGACTAAACTCCAATGGCTGTTCATCCTTTTTCCAACTAAACGGCCAGTAAATGGCGTGTAAATCTCATTTCTGGTGGGAAAAAAACAATGGACAAAAGCATACAATGATGATCTTGCTCGGCTCGTGTGTGATAAGTATTTCTCCATTCAAATGGTGGTTTCCAAGTCATCCCCCAAAATTCATCATCCAAGTCATGAATGACCATTGATTGGATTGGTTTAAGGGAAATTTTACAGGAACCCATAGATTTTCCCATTAAATATGGGGCTTTCCTGTAAATTTTCCCTTAAACCAATCCATTGACCCATGACTTGTTGCATTCTTCACCAAGCATGGTGACCTGAGGGTGACCTGAATGACCTGTACCCCAATTTTTTTCGACGCGTCCGCCGAGGCGCCCAGTTCAGTTGATTGATCCGCAGCAACATCTCCAGGAAGAAGAAGATTGTGAAGACCATCTGTGTGGAATGGATTTTTTTCATGGGATGTTTCTACATGTCGGAGATCCCATTTATGATGTTATCATGAAAATAATGGGATGTTATCATGGAAACCCACAATTTTCATGGGATGTTATCATGATATGGGATCCCATGTATATGAAAATATAATGTTTCTCTGTTGGAGATGATGTGGGATAGAGATATGTCCTTCACATTCATGGGATGTGAATGGAATATTCATGGGATAGTCCTGTGGCCAATCCTGAGGGTATCAGTCATCCGGTGAATGGGTGATGGACATGGGATGTCGCCACTTTGGCAGGATATCATAGCTGGTTGGTGGTTTTAACCATCCTGAAAAATATGAAAGTCAATGGGAAGGATTCTCCCATATATATATTATGGAAAATGAAAAATGTTTGAAACCACCAACCAGATAGAGTCATAGAGGTTGAGGTGTACATGTGAATTTGGTAACCCTGATCATCCGCCAAGGCAGGTTGCATCCAGTGTGCTATTCTCGAAAGCTTTGGTTCTGCTTCATTCTATATTTCTCAGCAACGTTCCCCACCACCTAATCTTTGGGCTATTCTCGCTACAGCGACGGGAACAACTCGCCAAAACCTGCACTTCTTCCCATATCAGCCCATCTGATCCTGTATTCCATGATATCAATGATATCCATATATCATCAGTAACTATCAGTAATATCCCCTCTATGCCTCTGGTTATTTTAACAGTTGGCTATGGAAGCCATGGCCCATATAAATGGATGTACACCATGGATGATTTACCGCTCCAATATTCCTGGCGATTTTCCAGTTCGCAGTTCGCACACAGTCACCAGACGGTACCAGCCTCACATGCAAACCACGGCACACGGTCCTCTAACCTGGTCGACTGGGCACCACTTGAGGTATGAGGATTTTGGACCCAGCTAGCGAGCAGAAAGACGAGCTGAAAGACTATGGCAAGAGCATCTTCTGGTTGGTGGTTTATGTGGTTTCAAATCTGCATAGGCAAGTCATTGAGGATCATCATCCCCTATGGCTGAAGAAATGAAAAAACTAACCACCAAAAAGTCCTTTTTATGGCGCTGACGCCGGTCGAAAAATCCACATTCTGAGCATGCAACTGGAATCCTCTGGAGTAGTCACTCTCCAATCCTGTCGCTGGAATTGTCGAAATCACGCGTACAGTTGGAATACTTTAAACTCCCAAAGAGGGAAACGTCTCCTCATTTCCAAAACAAAATCCCGGACATGAACAGGCATGGCTAGAAACGGAGCACTACAGGATGTTGCACTCTGTGATCTAAATTTGGAGGTCAATACTCTTAAGCCTTGGGTACCCCAGTTGCTCCAGTTCGAATCTTGCCTGGAGATAAACCATCCACCTGCCTATGAGGACGGTGTTGGCTAAGGTCATGAAAACCACCATGAAGTTGAACTGGAAGCTGGATGCAAAGTGCCTCCGCCTGGAGAAAGGAGAGGGAATTTTCTTGGCAAACTATGACCTTACTTGGTGGCGAACTACCCACGAATCGTAAGTGGGTTATAACCCCAGTGATTTACATGGGATAAGTAGGGTTAATCCACTTATACCTGGGTTATAACCCACTTACTAAGTGGGATGAGCCACCAAGTAAAGTATTTTTTTAAGTCAGAAAATGCAGACATCTTTCAGAGTTTTATCATGGTTTGTCCCATGTCTTGAGGGGTTAAAATACCCAGCATTTTGGCTAAACTGAATTTCTGTGCTACGTTTTTCCTTCAAAAATCTGGCATCGCGGCGCCAAAAAAACAACAAAGGTCCCCAAAGGGTGTGACCCGTCCTCCCCAGAGGTGCTAACATGGCCAGTCCTCCGTTGTGGGTAGATCCCCCATATTGAGGTTTCACGGCCTTTCCCATGATCTCCCCATGATTTCTGCCGGAAGATTTCCTACAGGATGGTGCCCCCCAGTTGGTTAAAAAAAACCATGGAACCCAGTTTTTCTTGTGAAATATCTACCATAAACATCCATAAACCCCATAGAATTCAGCCACTGTTTGGCAAACAACGCGAGCTCAAAAAAAGAGGCCCCAGCCATCCAGCCTGGCAGTCTTATCCTCCTGAATCTCCGTCCGGATATGTTCCCAGGCGCTGAGGAGTCTGCAGATTTTCCGCGCTCGGGGGGTTGGAGGGATGGCATAACTATGGCATACCTATTGTTACCATGAAAAATCAGGGTAAACCCATGGTAAACCCATGGCTTTCCAGTAAGTGGCAACAAAGGAAACTATGTCTTCTTTTACCATCAAAGAATTGGAGGTTCCTGCAGTTTAAGTTACAGACAACTATGAGGTTTTACTATTAAATATGGCATGGGGTCCTATAATCCGTTCCTTGAACCAATTCTAGGACTCTCGCAGCAGAAAAGTGCGCCACCGAAAGATTAGATACAACCATAAAATAATGTGCTTAAATGTTGATTTTAACATATATATATATATACATACAACGAATAAGATATCTAAAACCGTGCACGACAGAATCCACCAATGGTGAGTCATATGTTTCATTGAGATCTGCACTGGGGACTGGGCGCTTACTCTTGAAATCTCAATTAAATGATTCACAGGAAGCTGATGAACAACCCATTTTTTTTAACCTTTGAGAACTACCAGTTGCTGCAGAAACAACATGTTCAAGCCATCCCATTTTTTTTCATCTTGGATCATCATCCTGGAAAAAGGGCTGGAAAATGAAGAATTTTTGAAACCACCAACTAGACACAACTAGACCTGGTTGGTGGTTTCAACCCCTCTGAAAAATATTAGTCAATGGGAAGGATTATCCCATATATTAAAATGGAACACAAAAAATGTTCCAAACCACCAACCAAGGACCGTTGACAAAAATGTCCCTTGGGTGTAAAAAAAATACTGTCAACAGGCCAGAGGCCTGTCAGTGGTACTTTGCAAAGTAACATGTGTCCATTCTTCCCCCGGCAAAATTGGTAATTTGATCCCCATGATGATGTTGCTCATCATATCTCAACTGTGAGTCAGTTGACCCTGATTCTTATCCATGACATACAAAAACATACCAATGTTCTCCCGCAACTTGGGATATACCATCTGGTTATGACATTCACAGTTCGCCATGGAAAATCCCAACCATTTAAATGGAGGTTTCGTTCGCTGGGAAAATCCTCTATTTCGATTAGGGCCATCGAAAAACCATGGCGAACTGTGAATGTCATAACCAGAGGGTAAATCCCACTAATATCCCATTAAATCACCATAAATTCCCATTAAATCACTATAAATTCCCATTAAATCACCATAAATTCCCATTAAATCACTATAAATTCCCATTAAATCACCTGCCTTGCAATGGTAAGATCCAACCGAATCTGTGAACCATTGTGGAATCGCCAAGTTGGATCCCCATCCCCCCGCCTGTCGGACTGTTCCAGCGGCGGTCTCCTGAACGCTACCGTAGGATGAAGATTTCGAAAGGGGCCATGGGATGAGGCTGGTGTTTTTTTTCGGAATGGCCAGAAATCCCTTTCTGGCCAGCCTCATAAATCCATATAAATCCCATAAATGGCATTCCGCATTCCATTCCTGGGGTTTTTGGCCATTTAATTTAAAGAATCCCCGGAAAAGTACTGAAAAGTACTGAAAAGCATGACTTAGAATCGGATCCAAAGTCACAAAATCTTCGGATGACTAACCTGCGAGTTATTTAAGATAGTGTTAAGCCCCAAAAAGAATGCCAAAAAGTATTTAGGATGGTAGTTTGATGATGTTTCCTCATAATTCCAGGTGTCCAACATTTCTATCTTTTAGGGGGATTGCTATATATTGTGATCACATGGGTTTATCTGAGAAAATCGGGTACAAAAAAATATTCTGGTGGTTGATTTTTCCAGTTTTTCCCCATCAAAATTATGACAATAAACTGGTGGTACACCTCGGTTTCGGACACACCGGTATATCATTCCATATTTGATAAGATGATAAGATCATGATCTTAATGAAGATGGGCATTGACGATATCAAATTGGAGGTTGTTTGATGTTTTTTGCAGCTATAGCAGGAGGGCTCGAACTGGAACCCATTTCTGCTGGAACGGTCGGGGTAAACATTGGCGATCCAAAGCAACAAAGGCTTTGGAAAAATCCCAGGCGTTCAGGGTCAGCCATCAGATCACCAATTTTTCATAGATGTTCTTCTTTGGGTGCGTCTGAAAATGGCAGATGGAATATCCTCCCAAATGCTCATGGTGGAATCGGAAAATATGGAAAAATGAAGATTTGGAAGGGGGGATATTTTCCATATTTTGGAGGATCCCGATATGGAAAATATCCCCCAAAAAATCCTCGCAAATATCGGAACCATCAAATTTGGGGGATCTCCCATCTCCAGATACACCATGATACACCTATTTTGAAGCCTCGCTCCTCCCGATACACCATTTGCATCGGTCCAAGCCCCACGACATGGTGCCATGTTGAGCCACTTGGGCCGACCACTGCGAACCCACTTTTTCGTTTTATGGTCCGAGAGAGACTCGTTGTTGACTGGCTTGGATTTGGGCAACACAGGGTTCCGAAAAAATTGTGCATCCTCTGGAAAAAGTGGGAGCTATCAAACCATAATTCCAGTTTGTTTAGAACCTTTACCCTCTGGTAAACTAACATAACTATGGAAAATCACCATTTTCAATGGGTAAATCCACTATTTCTATGGCCATTTTCCATAGCTATGTTAGTTTACCAAAGGGTAATCTTTATAGAAAGCGAGAGCTAGCGACCCCTCAGCGGTTGTTCACGCTTCTTTTGTATCTCAGGTGGGCCTCTCCAATGATGTCCGTGTATCACAAGACCCGTTCAGAATGAATAAGTTGGGAGTTAGGCAAGTCGTCTGTCAGTCCGCTTATATCTATATCTATATCTATATCTATATCTATTTATCTATATATATATATATACACATCTATAGATCTATATCTATACTTACATCTATATCCATATCCACAACTATCTATCTATATATATAGCTACACATCATGCATATGCATATGCATATGCATATACATTGTGTCCTAAAACCTAAGCGTGCACTTTCAAGATTACATCCCCCTGCAGCCATCCTTTTTCTTCTCGGGGATGTGTCTCAAGGTTCCAGCCATTGCTGGAAACCCGGAGACTGCGGCTGTGCGGCTGTCATTCCAAATAGCCATAATTCCATAGTTATCATAGTTAGATAGGAATATATAATATTATATAATCCATATCAGCCATGAATCCTATACTGGGAACATTTCTTGTTGGTGAAACTGATGTTCCCATTGTTTCAATTTGTTTCATATGTTTTTCAGACTATGGTTGTCGCAGCCACACCTCTGGGACGTTAAATAAACGAGGCCTGCTATATTCTTTCTCAGCTGTGGCCGAGAAGCAGGCAAGTTTAACCGCTAAAGGCAGAGCTGGTCAGAGAAAAGCAGAAGAATAAAAGAGCAATGTTGTCATCACTTAAATGTAATTGTATAATACTATGCCTTTTTGGAACAGCTCGCCAACTTCTAATGTCACCATCTTAGTACGTCCCAAGAACTACGGACCCCAAAAAATCACTCGAACGGTCCTAAATGGTCTCTGTCTTAGCAGGGGCAAACCGTCTCGATTTTCCGCTGCAAAACTCTCTGGAAACGTCCAAATTGCATATGCCCACTGTCTGCCTCCATTGTTCTTGGGTATGTCCTCTTACATTCCCCAAAGGTACAAACTCCAAGATGCCGTATTTTCAAGTGGCACCCGCCCACCTGGCAGCATCCTTTGAGACATACCCAGATAAATTTCTCCAAAAATGGGGTAGAGCCAGAATTCAATTTTTGGGCACACAGTTCTTGGGACATACCCGTATCTACAAGTTCTGAACCAGGCTGAAACTTGCAGCCATTACCTGGGCGCCCGTGGTGGGGGTTGGGGTCACTTGGGGTAGATCTGAGGGACCGCTATGCTTTGACAGCGGCTGTGTTAACATGTGCCTCATCCAGATGGTTTTTGTGTTGATCAATTCCCGATGTGAACTTCAAGCACTACACATTCCCGGCCTTTTAAGGGTCAAACAACCGATTCCACACTGATCATCACCCAGTTGCTATGGCCCAAAACTTTTGACCAACTTGGATGCTTGCAAATCATGGAAACAACAGCAGCCATGTCTGAAAATTGCGCACCCCATTCCATCCATTGCGAACATAGAAAATGTTCCCCATGTTCCCAAGATTTCCCAATGCAAACCCATAGCTTTTTCCATTTCCTCATCTTCCATGGTTTTTCCCAGGACCAAAACAGGTGAAAAGCCCAGGCTGCATTATCAATGCGTCCTCGGTGAACACTTGCTGAATCACCTAAAAGGGAGCTGAAAAAAGGGGAGCCAAAAAACGTGGTCATTTGTTACATAGCTATGGTATAGATGGCCCATAGAAATAGCTGAATTTTGATGTTCCATAGCTAGTTTACCAGAGGGTAACAAACTCAACCAACTCACAAACTGACCAAACTGACTTCTGCAAGTCTGAAGAAAAATACATGTCTGGCACTACCAAGCATTGTTTCCGCTTGGATTCAAAGAATTGGGCCCCGGAGCCGAAACCCAACAGCACTGCTCAGGGAATAGTCACCACATCAACAAGGCAAAAAGGAAGAACTAATTATTATTATTACTATTATTATTATTATTGTTATTGTTATTGTTGTTGTTGTTGTTGTTATCATTATTATCACCATTACTATTATCATTACTATTCTTGTTGTTATTATGATTTCAACAATTATATATATATATATATATTGTTGTCACGTATTCTGCACCAAGGTGATTCTCAGTGTGTTGGTCCCCAGCAGTGTTCATCCCCTTGTCATCCCGTGTTCCCTCGACGAGCAGCAGTCCAGTGTGGTTGCACCACGCTTCTTTGTGCGGCCGCGCACCCTGAAAGTCAGCGCTCTCGGAGCGGTGGGAAATCCCATATGAAATCCCCCAACGGGTAACGGGCAATTGGTCGTGGGCTTCCTCTTTCCAACAAGGTTTTTCAGAATGCGAAAAAACTTGGAACCACCAAGCTGGAATCTGTGAAAACATCTGTTCTCCTAAGTATACTTTGGCATCTTGTTTCTGCTGCGATGTTGATTGGTTCACAGAAATCAGCCACCCATCCGGGGATCATCCGGGGATCCATCTGCAAAATCCACTGAATTCTTGAAATCGTAACCCAAAAAAAAAAGGACATGTTGAAAAATCATAGAAAAGTCAGCACTGCAACAGCTTTAACCGAGACGTTTTTGTTTTTGTTTTTGTTTTTTTTTTTCGGGACCTAAGTGCCAGACGCACATCGTCCACGTAAGCACGTGAGGACATCTCCATCTTGGAGCCTCAGCTCCGCGGGCGGCAAAGATGTGCACAAAAAATCCAGGGGGTGTAGTGCCAAAATATAGATGGTTCAATATGGTTAATACATGTTAATACATGTTCATTCTTCAAAAAATGATTCGAAGATCTTCGAAATCTGTGGTTTTCTTTGCATCTTGAAGTTTGATCCATAGCAAATTGAGCTGCCGTGCAACACGGTGGGGTCCAACCAATTCGGAAGACCTTCTTGGGGGGGTACCTCTAAAACCGCTAAATCCTCATCACCATTGATCATTAAAATAACCTTGCTGGGGTATACCCTATTTTCAGATGCACCCATATCGAACCCGAAATGTTCCAGATCTATATATATATATACATATATATATATATACATTATATATATATGGAAAAAGAAAGCCGCCTTGCCTTGCAGCACTCATATGAGGGTTTCTTAAAAATGGTCGATCCCCAAAATCATGGGTTTCCATACTAAAATGGTCTAATTAGTTGGATGATTTGGGGGGTACCCATAGTAGGCACCCATAGCCGCAAGTGCCCGGCCAAGAAACCCAACAATGTCTGCATCCAGCGCATTGCCATAGAGGCTTGAGGTCAAATCCCATAACCTGGCTGTCACCAGGCACACCGAAACAACTGGGCCAAGGAGATCATCGATAGTCGTTTCTGAAACATGGCGAAAAAAAGGGAATCCATCACCATTGAAACAAAAAAGGCTAAATGATGTTTGAAAAAAAAAAACGGGCCATAGTAAACTATAGCTATGGGAAGTTCCCACATGGTACGGTTTTTTTGAAGACCCAGAAACCATGGTGGATGCAGTGATTTCATCACGACTCTTTGTCACAACGGACGGGACAGGAAGGGATGGGGGTGTTGACCCGGCCTGGTAAACTAACAGGTTGCGAACTTGAAAATGGCCCAGTCGAAATAGTTGATTTGCCCATTAAAAATGGTGATTTCCCATAGTTATGTGGCTGTTTACCAGAGGATTTCATATGAAGGGGATTGGATTTTGACCAAGGAATTTCCATCCATTTCCATCCATGTCCAGGTTTCAAACAATGACGGCAGGAGATTTCCGAACAAAACATGTGGCCATGGCATATCTAGGTTTCCGAACTTAAATCGGGGTACCCCTTTATCGCTGCATGGAAAATTTCATGGAAAATCCGATTCGGAGGGATGATTTTTTCGGAAATTTAGGGATACCGGAGTACCCAAAAATTCTACTGTGGATGGTTGTGAAATCCGAATCACCAGTTGAAAACGGTGGTAAACATCCCATTATTTATAGGGTTTCAACCATCCGTTTGGTGGTGCAAGATTTCGCAACCATCAACAGTAGGAAACCATATCCCCTTTGGAATCTCCGACCATCACCGACTATCACCGACTGCGCGCCTGTCGCTGTTGTTCCAGTGGGGGCGCACCGCACAGCGTCCCGCTAGCTGAAGACCGCGCATGTCCCGCAACAGGAGCCTCGTCCGGCGAGGCTCCGCTTGGATGCACATCTACACCAACGAAAAAGTCAAAGTCACATCCAACTGAGTAGATCCTTCAAATCCATAGAAATCCCATAGAAATCCAGTTCAACACACAACTCCCATAAAAATGATGTGTTGATCTAAATTTTGGTGGCTTACAACAACTGCTGATTTTTTCGCTCTTCATCCATTCATCCCATGCAGCATCCGTTTTTTTCGCACTATCAAAACATATCAAAACTGCAAAGTGCCCTCTGGTAAACTAACATTTTAATGGGATCTAATGGGAATTTATGGGAATTTGTGGTGGTTTAATGGGATCTAATGGGTTTTACCCTCTGGTACACTAACATAGCTATGGAAAATCACTATTGTTCATGGGAAAACTCACTACTTCTATGGTCATGTTCAATAGCTATGTCAGCTATGTAAACGTTTACCAGAGGGTAGCATCAAACATGGTTTGTTTGTTTTTTTAATTGGTATCACGGCATCCCAAATTAAATGTCTTCGTTGATCATCATGATTTCTGAAGACAATGCATTGGCAACTTTTGGTGTACTCCGTTGGCAGGGGCAAAGCCAACTCGTGTCCAATTCAATCCAATTCTATCCCCATAAACGGGTCTAGTTTACCCAATTGTTGTCAGTAAATCATGGTGAATCATGGTGAATCACTATCCATTTTTTATGTCCCCATGTTGGTTCATCCACCTGAAAAACATTTGAAGTTTCAATCGCAAAACAGTGGTAGGAATCCCAGTATTGATGCTTAATATCCCTAAAACTCATATCCTATACCCTCTGGTAATTTAACATAGCTATTGAAAATGACCATAGAAATAGTGGATTTTCCCATTAAAAATGGTGATTTTCCATAGCTATGTTAGTTTACCAGAGGGTATCTTCATTTTTATCTCCATAAACATCCATTCTTGGTGAAGATTTTTTTTATCCCCACTCATATCCTCACTTTTGTATCCCCGGTAATACTCCCATAAAATCCTCGCAAATGAAGTGGGTGAACTCACCCCACAAACACATCAAACACGAACCACCAAGAACGTTTCGTCATTATATCCCCATGAAATCCCCATCAAGTTCTCATAGATTCCCAATCGAATCCTCATCAAATTCTCATGAATTCATATATATATATACACATATAATCATATAATCATATATAATTATACATAATTATACATATACATAATACATATATATATATATATTCTATATTCCCAATGAAATGTCCCAGAACTTCCCCAACCCCTCGGCTATCCGCCAAGGCGCTCTGCCAGCTGCGGCTTCGGCGCGGCCGTCAGGGCGAAGCTGTGGCTGGCCAGCATGGCGCCGGCGCCCAGGCCCAGGAAGAGCCTAAAAGTGGCTGAATTCTGTGGTTTATCACGGGTTGGTACCCTCTGGTAAACTAACATAACTATGGAAAATCACCATTTTTTATGGATAAATCCACTATTTCGACTGGGCCATTTTCAATAGCTATGTTTGTTTACCAGAGGGTATCGGGGGTTGGTAAATGTCCTGTTTTTGGGATTTTGAACATCACATCCCCATAGTGTCCGTTGGATTTTAAATATCCCCATAGTAGGGTGATGTTCAATTTGGACATTTACCAACCCCCGTTTATGGTAGATATAACAAACTAGTTCATGGATGTTTTCATGGGGGTTCTGTGACATAGCTATGGAAAACGGAGCATTTTATGGTGTTTAGGGGAGTAGTTTAGGGGATGGCCATAGTAATGATGGCCATAGCTAGAATAGTGTTCGTTTCCGGGGCCATCAATCCATTGATGGGAAAATGGTGTATATTATATATATGGGATAAATGGTAGAAATGGGATATATGATCTAGAATAGTAGGTTTAGGGGAGGTTCAGTGATGTCATGTGGGAAAAACAATCATCAACCACCCATTTGGGAATGCTGTATACCACCTATTTTATGGTGATTTGAACAAATGGTCATAATTATAATCAATTTTCGTAGGAGTTGTATGGGGAATTTCATTGGGAATATATGGGATAAATGATTTAGCTAAAAAGTGGCGATTGAAAATCTAGTTTTGCTAGTTTAATTAGTGGAGGATTTCAGAGAGTTTTACAATGAGCAAAAATAGCGATTTATGGAAGTTTCATGGGGATCTTAATGGGGACTTTTTGGGATTTAATGAGGATGTTTTGAGGAGTTTATCCTGATCTTATGGGATTTTTCGAAGATGCACTGATGTTGTGGGATATAATGAATGGCATACAACCAACGACATGTATACAGCAGTTCTTCAAATAATCCCAAGAAGGCAAAAGATATAAAGCAAGAAGGGGGGTGGTGAGCCAATACATTGCAATTGTTGGTAAATTGTGCAATCTGATCATATCACCCCCTATAATAAGCAATCAACAAAAATTGTGGGAGGTTTGAAGAAATCTTGGAAATGAACTTGGGAAAAATGTTGTGGGATGTAACCTTAACATCAGGCTGCACAAAAAGTATCGTTTCAGTGCCCAAAAAGCCGGCCAGTGGTCTTCCATCTCCGAAAAAACGTCCGAACAAAAAACTTGGGAACTCTGGCTGTAAACAGCCAAAGCTTGCTGCCTTGGAGACAATTCCACTTGAAAAGAATAGACTACCTTGATCTGCCTTCAGATGTTTCACTCACTTTTTGGTTGCTTCCCTTCGATTAAATCAAATCCACGGGTGCCTGGGTACCTTTCGCATTTGACGATGTTTTTTCCCACCAATCAAAGCGGTGAAAGAAACAACAGGAGTTTTCGGTTCCCGCCGAGGGGTCCACCATTCTGATGAAGTTTGGATCCATGATTCAAATGAATCCGAATGATGCAACAGAACTCAAGGGTTGTAAGCTGTAAGGCGTGTTCTGCCTGTTCTTTGGCTTCGCCGCCCCGAGGGGGCAAGGGTTGCCAAGCACTGCTACGCTGATGTGGCAAATGCACCAGAAAATAAAGTTTTTACAGTTACAAACACAAGGCTCTTGATACGCACAGGAAAGCATGCAAGAAAGCAGCACCCCATGTCGCTGCCGAGTTTCAAAGATCCCTCTCTGACACGTTTGATGATCTTGGCAGTAAATCTGGGCGCGAAGACCTTGAAGACGTATCCTTGGGGGTCAGAAATCCCCGGGAAAGCCACTCAGCAATGGCTGGAATCATGTCGAACCCCCGGAAAATGGTGTGGTTTTGGACATGACATGAGCGGCTGAAATTCACATGCCCCTTCAAACTGGTCCATGGTTGAAGATAATTTTGATGAAGGCCTTTGCAGCAGGTTGAAAGTGGCTTATCGGTGCTCTTGACTGCCAACCAGTTCCAAACCGTCCTTTCCAAGGAGAGAGTCATCACGATCCTCATCCTCATATCCCTCATATCTCTCATAATGTCAACCCCGGATTAATAAACCATGGCTTATTAATTAGGGGGTGTTCCCTCAATAGTCATGATTTGATACTTTTTTGTGGTACTTTCCCAATTAAACAGCCGTTCGGGGTTTATTAATCCAGGGTTTACATTAACCCTCATATCCCTCCTATCATAGAATTGGATGATGGGTAAATTTACAGGACACTCCTATATTTGATGGTAAAAACCATGGTTTCCAGTTAAGATGTTCCCAACCAACCAATCTGATCATATCCCTCATATCTCTCATCCCCACCATCACTGCCGCACAGCCCAGTTTCCCAGCAGATCGGGATTGCCCCATCCCATCATCAGCACTGTGGCGTCCCCTAGGAGCTCTTCCAACCTGAGAAAACAACGACCCAGCCGAGCCGAGCCAATCGGAAAAGAGATATTTTTTGGATACAAAGAACTAAGAAGCTGCTATGGGCTACCCATGGCTGTTCCATTTTTTCAGACTCATTTGTATCAACATCCTGATGTGTATGATACAGAAACTCCGAAAGTATCTTCATGGACTGAGTATGATATAGAAACTCAGTACCAAAAATGGACAGGAAAAACTGTGGACGTTCAACTGGTGTTGGGCCGTTTGCCTCTTCAACCACGACCTGCTCGTGCCTTTTTAGAGATTTGGCTGAAATGATTTTTGGTCCATTCACATCTCACAATGAAGAATCATGGTCACATCATCTCATATCATCTTCCCCTGTCAACACTCACCTCAAAATCACAGTGCTTTAAGGTCAGATCAAAAGAGAGCAACAAAGATCACACATGAATAGGTTTTAAGGAAAGGTTACAGGAAACCATTGTTACATTGAACTACCCCCAAAAAAAATCCTCCATGGTTTCAGTTGACACCGAGTCAGTCTGTCACCAGGAGTCAAGTGGCGATTCCAGGCATCTGGCGTCTGCGAGCGTGGTCATTGAAACCTGTGAAAGTTGGAAAACTCTCAGCAGCTATCGCTCAAGATATATATTAATATATATATATATATGTTGAAAACAGAGCCATGAGTGCATACTCCAGCAGGGGAACAGATGCATGACCGAGAGGGACCCTTCGCTCAAGCGGCAAAAGGTGCCCGTGCTCTTGCCCCTGGGAGGGCGAATGGTTTTGAGATTGGTAGCGGATTAGGGCCTGGCTCCCGCAGGTAGGATCCTGTAGGGTAGAGCCATGAGTGCGTCGACGCCAGGTGAGTCGACTGGAAACCATAGGATGTTCAGTGGAAACGGTGAGGATGCCAAAGAGTACCGCAGGTGGAAGACTTGGGTGATCAACAAGCTCCTCACCCTTGGAGATAAGATCTCTAAGGAAGCCAGGGGTGCCTAAGCAGGCTATGTATATACACTACTGCAGGGGAAGGCTTTGGAATGTGTTGAACATTTGGAAGTAACTGATTACCAAAAAGAGGATGGGGAGAAGGTACTATTCAAACTGTTGGATCAGCGCTTTCCCCAGAAGGACAATACCGATGAGATGGCTGAGACACTGAGTGCTGTTTTCTCCCTACGTGCCTCTGAGGGGGAAACACTGAAAACGTGGATCAGTCGAGCTTCTGAAATGTTCGACAGGTGCCAATGGAAATGCAATGTAGCCTTTCCGGAAGAGGCTCGGAGGCTGGATCATCCTCCGACGATCCGGCCTCTCAGAGGAACAACAGGCGGTAGTGCTGGCCAGATCCCTGGGAGTTTTGAAACGTGAAGAGGTAAGCAAAGCTATGAGGTCGTGCTATCCAGAGTACACTGTGCCGAAAAAACGTGTTGGAGTCAGCCTTGTAGAAGATTCCAGCCTGCCTGAACTGTTAGGCGATGAGTCTGAGATCATGGACCCCAGCATGGAGTTCGATGATGTGGAACAGTTACTGGCTCAACACGATACAGTTGATGAAGATGCAGAACCAGAAGTGTATCCTGAGAATGAAGTAGCTGACATCATGGCTGTTTCCTGGCGCGAGAAGAGAAAGGAGATTTCCAAGATGCAGCGATCACGAAAGTTTGGGGCCGCGGCTGACCTCAAGCGACAGTTCAGAGTTGAGATTGAAGAAGTCAAGAAAAAGACAAGATGTCATCGCGGGCCATTGGAGCCGAGAATGCAAGATGCCTGGAACTGACCAGAAGGGAAACACTGCAACCTCTGGTGCATCAGGGTCTGGATCTAGTCGTAAAGACACAGGAATGGCCTATGTTGAGAACTTTGTGGCCTCGGTGATGTTTCAACCTACGTTGTTGTCTCAGTTACGACAGCGTGCAGCTACAGCGAGTAAAATGACTGATGATGCTCCTTTGTCAGATCAGGTGAATGAAGCTCTGTTGGTGTCAAGCCCCGGCTTTGGAGTTTTGGACTCTGGGTGTGGCAAATCAATTATGGGACAACAGACCTATCAGTCATTCTGTCAGTTGTGGCGCGATCACAATATTCCAGTGCCTGAGCCGTATCAAGAGGTGAACCATTTTCGTTTTGGGAACGGAGAAAAAGAAACATCAGAATGGTCCATCAAAGCACCTGTCGTGTTAGCTGGAAAGACAGGTGTTATCAAGGTTGCTTTGGTCAAAGGTGAAGCTCCCCTGTTGGTGTCACGTAGAGCCCTTCAAGCACTGAACGCCAAGCTGGATTTTTCCAAGGGTGAACTCACTGTGTTTGATGAAGAAGCCGTGATTCCACTTCAAGTGAACCATGCTGGACAGTATGTAGTTCCCTTGCTTGGGGAGACCGATGTTCCCTCAGAAAGCTTTGATGAAGTCATGGTTAGCGTTTCTGTGCCTCCGCTGCCTGAGCCTGATGCCACAACCATGCATGATGATGGAGAAGCTGAACAGCCCAATGATTCCGATCCTGCCTCCTCTTCAGGACCGGAAGCCAACTTGTCAGAGTGGGCCATTGGGTGCTCATATATTCCCAAAGCTTTCACCACTGGTAAGCAAGGACCCAAATGGAGTAGTGTTAAGCGTCGCATTATCACCGACATGGATACCGGTAAAGTGTTGTTTGATGAAGTAATTGACCATAGGCTTGGCAAGAACAGATATCATCAACCTTTGCCTAAACATGTTTCGCACTCCAGGTCACAGTTCATGTTCACTCCTGAGGAGAACCATCCTGCCGTAGCTGAGTGTCTGAGTGTCCGTCATGTCCGACAGTTGCACGCCCAGGTCAATAAGACAATCCTTCATGATGAGCGTAGGAATTCCTCTAAGGAACCACTGATGATTGCAGAAGTGTTTTCACCACCAAGGTTTGCTCCGGTTGTGCAATCGCAGGGAATGCGAGCTGTGTCTTTTGACCTCAAAAATGGATATGACTTTTCCAAAGCTAGTGTGCGACAGCAAGTGAAGCAGCAGTTGCGTGAAGATCCACCAGAACTCCTAGTGCTCTGTCCGCCATGTACACGTGAGGGTGGTTGGTTTAACCTTAATCGATATACCATGTCGCCTGATGAAATTCTTCGGAAGAAAGCCCAGAGCCGACTTTTCATTCGATTTTGTTGTGAACTTTTCCAACAACAGGTTGAGTTAGGAGGACTGGCCATGTTTGAACACCCACTTGGTTCCAAACTGTGGTCTTACCCAGAGATGTTGCGACTGCTGCGCAAGTTCCCGACCGTCAAGTGCCATATGTGTCGTTTTGGTCTTCGCCTGCCTGGCAGCCAGAATTTCATCCGTAAGGGAACCCGTCTGTTGGTCAGCGACTCAAGCATGGAAGTGCTAGGACGTGAATGCCCTGGAAAGCAGAGTGTCCACCATCAATGCCATGACACCATTGAAGGCAATCATCCTGTTGTAGGGTCAGTCAGCCAGTTTGCTGGTCAGTACACACCAGGATTTGTTGAAGCAGTGTTGGACACCGTCCCAGCATACCGTGCACGTTCTGAGACTCTGGAGGTGATTGAAGTTCCACCCACCGATCAACAGGCCGAGAACGAAGTTTTAGCTGCCCGTGCCGATTTGCAAAGCACTGATGAAGAAGTGATCAAGAAGACTTTGTTCAAGTTGCATCGAAACCTAAGACACCCTGCAAATCATGACCTTGTCCGAATCCTCAAGCACGGACAGGCAAGTGATGATGCAATTAGGTTGGCCAAAGAGCTGTCTTGCGAGTTCTGCCAAGCGCGCATCAGGCCACATGTGCCGTTGCCAGCACAAACCAGCCGAGTATCCCAGTTCAATGAACAGGTAGGCATAGATGTGAAGTATCTTCCTGGTTGGCGACCTAATCAAAAGATCAAGTCACTTAACATGGTGGATCAGTCAAGCTGTTTTCAACAAGTGGTTCCTTTCTATGAAACCGAAACTTCAGCTTTGTTGCGCAAGCTGGACCTCCAAAGGAACTGATACTTGACCCAGCTCAGACCAATCTTGGAGAGAATCTTCAAGGACCACTGGAGTTCGAAGGAACCACAGTGCGACAGATCGCTGCTGAGGCACATTGGCAACTTGGCCGAACCGAAAATCATGGTGGTTGGTTTGCTCGAGTTCTCTCCAAAGTAATTGATGAACATGCACCGTCCAATCGTGAAGAATGGGAAGAATGTGTACGCCATGCTCATGTGAAGAACACAATGATACAAAGCTATGGATACACACCACATCAACATGTGTTTGGAGTTAACCCCAGCATTCCTGGTGATCTTCTGAGTGAACCTTTGCACATAGTTCCAGCCACAGCCGGCCTCACGGAAGATGCTGTAGCAAAGGCGCAAGCCATCCGTCAGTCAGCTCGTTCTGCAGTGATCCAGTTGCAGGATGACAAGTCATTGCGACGTGCACTAGCAGCCAGGCCTCGCATGACACAAGCGTTTCAGCCTGGAAACCTGGTAGCCTACTGGCGTCGACAGAAGTTGCAACAAGGTGAGGTTCAACAAGGTGGACGTTGGCATCGCACTGCAGTTGTGATAGGATATGTAGGTAGGAACCTCATCCTGGCACACAGAAAGCAGATCTTCCGATGTGCACCCGAACAGGTGAGACCAGCCACCACTGAAGAAAGGACACTGATTGAGTCTCCACAGATGGAACTTTTGGGGATAAAGGATCTAATAGAAGGGGGTACTTTTAGGAGTCACCAATTCATAGATTTAGTTCCTGGACACTATCCCACCGTTGAACCTTCGACTGCCAGTCATGCACCAGACGCATCCGGTGACAGCCCAATGCAAGAGTCAGGAGAGCCAGCTCAGCCTGAGGTGATTGATAAGAGTCCTGCTGATAGCATTCCTCCAACCCAAGTTGTGCCCACTGATGTCCCACAGAATATGGATGTCTCTCCTGCCATAGCTGACGATGCCCCTGCGTCTGGTAGCCAGTATGGTCCAATTCGTCGCCGAGTCACTGGAAAGTCTGGAGATGCAACCATGTACAGACCACCAGCCATGCGACAAGAAGATTTTGCTGAGATCATGCGAGAGGTTGTTCCACACCTTCTTCAAGAGAACTTTGAATCAACACACACAGGTCAGAAGCGCAGTCATGATGATGAAGGTAGTGAAGAAGTTGTCGAACCTGCAGCCAGTAGACCTCGCACCAGCTCTCCAGAACCAGCACAAGCTGCAGGATCCGCTGCAGAGCATCCAGTGTCAGCCGTTGCTCATGACAGCCCCAACATGCATGAGGAATCCGTCCATGAGGTGTTGACAGTGTCCCAAGTAAATGACCTGTTAAGTGATTGGGATAAACATGGGGATATAGAGGTGTCAATAGCGGGGTATTTAGCTAAGAAGATGTCCAAAGAATTGCCTCCCACTGGTAATCCTCCAGCCCTTCAAGAAGCAGTTGATGACTCCAAAAGAACTGAATGGGAGACCCTGAAAGAAAAGAATGCCATTCGTTTTCACTTTGGCAAAGATGCTCAGCGTATCCGAGAAAAGTATCCTGACCGTTTCATCGGGAGTAGACATGTGATCACCCGCAAACCTCTTGAAGAAAATGGT